CCATGATGACCTTAACCTCTACCCAGCTCTAACCTTAAACATAAGTAACCAGACAAAATATGAGACCTTTGCCATTCTTACTTTTTTGATTGCATTCACAGATCTTTGTGGGGACCTGAAAAATAGTCCCCACAACGTCAGAAAACAGGTTTTTATGATATTGTGGGGGACACTGGCCGATGGGGCGATGGTGTCCCCCAGCCTTGTGCCCCGTGTTGCCTGGGACAGGCTTCAGTCTCATACATGTCACCCTGACGGCATTGAAAACAGAGGGCAAGGTGACGGGAAAAAAGATTTATTTTGGTGAAAAAATAAATGTTTATGCTCATTAAATCATTATGCTCATATCTTTTGCTTTAATTATTGTTATTGCTATAGAGTAAAACTTACAGCTAGACAATGAAACAATCTGACCAATAAGAATATAACTAATCCAAAAACTAAACGTTACTACTTGTGGTTCCAGCAGACACCCTGCCGGGGCATTTGTTTATGAACGCAGGGAGACTGTGGAGGGGGTGGCATATAATTCTCATATGTATTCAGATAAGCCTTTGCAGCAAGTCATTGCTGGCACCAATGTAACTTTTCCTTTGTGGTTTAAATCTCATGGCAATGAGATACCGGCAAAGACAAAAAAAAACGTGAGTCTCGACACCTGTGCAGAGCCCCTGAGACCCAGACCAGGATGATGTTCGGAAAATGCTTGGTCGGATGGATGGATAGTTAATATATAGTATATATAATGTTTAAAATATTGGACAATGGATGGATGGATAATGTTTAAAATATGCAATGTGCTGTAATTTATAACTGTCTTAGATCACTGAATGCCCCACATGAATGAGGACTGATGAAATTCCCCTGCAGCATCATAATGAAGCTGAACTATCCATTACTGCGGATTATATGAGCCACTGACAAAGGGCCTAAAATGTTTCAGGGCATAGTTGGAGATCACAGTCTGTGGTGCTCAGGCCCAATGAGATGCATCTGAAGCCCCCACTCACAGCGCCGTCAGCTGCAGTCACAGCGATGATCAACACGGAGACATCCGGGACCACAGACCTCTGGCTTATGGTTTCGGTTCTGCTGCGATCTGCCTTTTTGTCCAAGGACATCCAAATCAGCAATGTTTTCCAATCCGGTCCTCATATACCCACAGCCGGTCCACATTTTAGCTCCCTCCCAGCTCCCGGAGCAAAAACGTGGACCGTCTGTGGGTCCCGAGGAATGGGTTGGGACACACTGCCATACAGAATCGAGGATATCCCTTTTCGCTTACGTTAGACATCGCACTCGTGGCAGGATGATGTCATCGTCTGTCATTTATGGTGACCCACTGCACCCAGAGCACAGTGGCAGGGTGAGTGACATCATTAAAGTCCCACCCCTGCCTTGTGTGTGTAGAGTTTGAATACACTCCATGTAGTGTACATGCTTCCTCTTGCAGTCCTAAATCATGTGGTGAGGTAAAGAGGCATTTCTAAATTGCCCGGAGTCTGCGTGCCCTGTGATGGACTGGCATCCTGTCCACGGTCTTCTCCAGCCTTGTGCCCTATGCTGCCTGGGACGAGTCCAGTTCTAAACCCAGGAAATAACAAATATGTGTCATTATTCTATGTCACCGGGATACAAGGTCACCGTGTTGCAGCGTTATTTTTGCTCGATATATCTGCCCTGTTATTTCCATCATTAACCGTGACGAGGACTTCAGTGGAGATAGACAGACCTCGTGGGGCAGAGAGTTTATCTCCATCGTGGACGTCACTGCTCCATTTGCATGGCTAGGAAGGATTAACACAGAGTCCACTAATTCCTTCTAATTTGATCCCCGAAGATTATCTTACCTTTGGCATACAGATGTAATTCGCTTGTGCAGCACTAGTGCCTCACACAACCATCCGCGTGTCATGTAAATGTCTAACGAGCATTCTGTGCTCTGGATATGTCTCTTTGCATGAGAATGATCTGGATAGACATCACAATGAATAGCATGTTTACCTGAACCTTTGCATGGATAAAGTACGGAACATGCTGTTATAAAACCGAGAATTAGCAGTGAGTGACTCTTCCACAAAGACACAGATGAACAAAATCCGTAGTGCAACTGGCCATCAGCAAATTCATTCAGGGATAACAATGTAGTTAGCAGGCTGCT